GAACGCCACCTCAATTTAGGGGTAAATCAGACCTACCAAAAAAGTAACCGCAGATCTACCAAAAACGTAACTTTTGCGTCATTACGTTGTCCGCACACGTGATGTAAATCACTTGTTTTTGTCGATTAGCATTCCAGACATTTCGCACTGTGTGCATACTTAGTATAGGATTGGTCAATCTAATTTACACAATGTAATGAATTAATTGTAACACGGCTCTTTGGGGTCCTCTTTGATTTCCCCGAAAATTTTTAAAGATATAAAGACAGAATGCGATAAAAGTGATTAGTAACACTAATGTTGTGTATCAAGACTATGTGAGCAAACTATGTAATTTGATATATTGCAGATTTTCATGTTACACGAATAAAAATCAATTTTATTATATATTATATTATATACTATTGAGCGATCCATTCTAAATGATTCAACTCATTATCAAGACACGGAATTGCCTTGAAAATTTCACAAGATGTTTATGAAATGTCTAAGAATAAAATTATGTTTAAGATTCTCTATTAACTTGCAGGCTTTGAGCATTCGTCTTTTAGAATGTTTAAATTCTTTAATTAGAACGAAAAATTTTATCTTAAAAATTTATTGAGAACTTCGTAAAAAATCAAACATAGTTACTTCGAAATAGTTTCTGATGCGACATTCCCGATCGAAAGAAATTAGAAAAATAAGTACACTATTTGTGTGAATCATTTAGAATTTTATGCTTTTCTTTATAATTAACAATTATATATAAACCATTCGATTGATCATTTTAATTTTACTGATAAAAATTTGATCATAATAAAATGATCAACATAGCTAACATAGTTTTGATTTACTTAGTTGAGTTACCACCACCCTAGTGTACATGATATTGGTCCTAGATTAGCATAATTAAATTTGATGATGTCCCAAGCTTCGTTTACAGCTGTTCTCGTAATTATACATATGTTTTATTATCACCATTACCGGTCAAATATATATTTCAAACTATATTCATTGTCATTATAACTGTTCTGAGATACAAACCGAATCGATAAGTTTTTAATGTCACTTCAGTTATTTACTATAAATATGGGAGTCAGTCTTTAGAAATGTTTTAATAAATTTTTTTTTGAAATTTTAATACCAATATAATTCAACAAAAACTTAATAAAATTTTGTACAAATTTTTTAAAATCGATTTAAAAAAGAATTTTTTTTTTTTATGAAATTTAATGGTGCGTTTCTACTGACTCAATATTTATTGTTATCATCATAGATAATGCCTAATGCGTCCCTAGCATGTATAAATTGTCGCGTGATTCATCGAAGATGCGTAACACTTCCTGAAGGCATCTGTACAAACTGTAGAAATTACAGTCTTCTCAGTGTTTATATACAGGGTAAAAAGCGTGGTCCAAAGTCCAATTCTCAGTCTCTTTCCAATATTAACACCTGTGAAACTGCTACTGAAGCTACTGAAGCATTATTCTCTTCATCAACCGATTCCTCCTCTTTTGAAATTCCACACGTTTATAATCATATCATTATTTCATCTTTCTTTTCCTTTGTTCACGAAGGACCAACACAAAATTAATCATTAATCAATATCAAAATATCGCACTCTACTAGCTATTTAAACGATTCTTCTTCTGTTGAAACACCTTTTAATATCCACCTATATGGAACTACTGATGTATTCCAAAATACATTCTCTTTCGTTCACGAGATACCAGCATAAAATAATTATTCTTTTACTATTAGTCCATCTCATCATCCTCTATTATTATTATTCAGATGATTCTTCCTCTTTAGAAATTCCAGATCCTTATAGTAATAATATCATTACTTTCCCAATACATTTACGAAACTAATGAAGCATTTCAAAATATGCTGTCCTGGAATTTATGAAAGCAGCTGTAATTGAAATAAAATTTGGAAATCTCGTCGGTCGGATAATAACCAAAACTTTAGCAGGTTTTTTCCGTAGTTGAATTCTCATGTGTTGAAGAACTTATATCACTTTCGGAGACATTCTAACTTATGTCCAGAGCTTTTTTTTACAATTCAAGTGAAATTTGCCGGTCAACGAGAACATTCTTTGTTATAAATTTCCATATGAACTAAATAAATTGGGCATACGATAGTTCCACTAGTAAACGGATCTCCAACATATTTTGTTCACATAATATCGTACGACACTGATTATAGCATTCGGGTACTATTCAGTAAACCAACAAATTTATTGAATAGTACCCACCCGGGTCCTAATTACTGCTATAAAAGGATACTTTACATAGTTTCAATAAAGATTTCAAATTTAAGTATATATGTTTGGTTAGAATAGTACTTCATTGTGAACCCATGATCTGTACTCGGATCTGGGTATTTTAGTAGGGGTATTATAGTCAGTGCCGTACGGTAATAGTTTTTAAAGATATTTGTTTATTGCTAAATATATATGTCAAGGTCGCGATATTGCTTCCTTGTGGAGCTCTTTATACTTATTATTTATCTACGGTAGGAAAATCGGTGAGCACATACAGTATAACCTCGATATATATAACGAAGCCATTTCTAACTTTTATGTTTAAATTAGCCCCGATGTAACGAAACTACTAATCAATTTTGATATACGAAGCAAAACCTCCAGCTCCAGGTCTTCGTTATATCGAGGTTATACTGTATAGCATCCATCCTTTTACAGTAACGTATAATATGCAGAAAGAAATGAATTCTATCAATACCGTATTCCTTCGAAAATAAGCACCCTTTTTTGCTATAAGGTTGCTTATTCTCTCAACTAATAATTTGAATGACTTGATATTTAGTTGCTTATTTCTACCGTGTCACAGAGAAATCAATGGGATAATGTCCGTGTACAATACTGGTCCCCACCAGGGCTGAAAACGACTATTTGAATAGTACCGTTCTTGATTCAATTAATAGGAAAATCTGATAATCTTATTTATTATCTACAAAAAGACGCTTTAAACGATGGAAATTGGCGCAATAAATGGCCACTATTTCAGTAGTCGTTTTCAGCCTTGATCCCCACCGTGTTGGGAAATCTCCCCAGCGGCGCATGTATGGAGTGCTTTCGTAATTCCTACTATCCTGGGGAATAAATAATACTCAAAAAAAAGACCTATTCATTAGCATCCCAACTTACTTGTACATACGTAATGTGAATTGTTCTCATTGACAATTTCCTAAAGTAATTGCAATTGTTTTTCCAGAAATGAAGGATTTACTCTCCGATGTTCGGAGGTCAAGTGCCCGCGTCGTGCACATGGGCATTGTACCGGGCACCATCCGTACCCATGAAAATGCCAAGTCTGTTATGTATTTATTTCACGCCTGTGGGCATGCCTGGCACTTTGTGCCCACAGCCGTTCCCATAAAATTTTTATTGGGCACGAGGACGTACCGAATATGCAGACCCCTAAACTGTAAATGGAACCCACCTAGTAGAGGTTTAACCCGGTTTTATTCTAAAAACGGGTTTAATCGGTTTTTTGAATAAAAAATGCATGACAGGTTCCACATAGCACATAGACAAAATTTGTAAATCAACATGTGAAAATTAACCAATCAAGTTTCCCATATTATTAGAAAACAAAAATATAAAATTGAACACGCGGAAACAAATTAAATTAAGATTTTAAGGATTTTTTTAATTCTAATAAGTTTAAAACATTATGATCTAACAAAAATACTTTAGCAAACTCTACCACCAATCAGATAAACTTTCCATTTACGTCGGGCTGATCCGGATAGATCAAACTTTACGTTCTCCAATTGGTTATTCCCTGGGAAATTATTCTAGAAAGATCAACCAAAAAAACGTGGTTTGATCTCAAAACAATACGCGACAAAAAAAAAAGAACATATAAGGGCCGTAAGGTTCTCTTTTTTCTTATCAATCTTTTTTTTACTTAAATACATTTTATATACTTTTACTCAATACATTTATTCAATATATGTAACTTTCTTTTTTTATACATTCGCTTTTCTCTCTTGACATTTTTCTTTTTTTCTTCAAGCTATTGATTTTGATCAAGATAAGTATTTCGTTCTGTACACACTTGTGTTCAGTTGCTATGCCTATTTTAACTTTTTTTCGTTTGATCATAGGTAAGTATTTGTAGGCATTGACTGGCCCGCGGCTGGAAAACTATGTCACCTCCTTACCTGGGAAAGGCCCCTTACCCTCGAGAGTTTGAGTTTGTTTTTTGTTTTTTACTAACTTTTACTTCATAGTAGGCTCAAATTTCTTGAGGGTATTTTTTGCTTTCACAAACCCAGGTTGTGAAAGCTTGTTATAGTTTGTAATCTTTTATATTTTTTGGGTCACTTTTGGTATTGACGTCCTCGTCGTGTGGCCTGGATATTATTTAGTTAACTCTAAATAATAGCTAACAGATACCAAAATACGTTTTGTTGTGCATTGCTATACTAATTTTTTTTTTTTAATAATAGTATTGTGCCGTCGTCGTTAGAGCTATCATTAGGTATAATTTTAATGTAGTTGTTGGAGTCGCTGCTGGTTAAGATAAGTATTTCGTTCTGTACACACTTGTGTTCAGTTGCTATGCCTATTTTTTAACTTTTTTCGTATGAAGTTT